ACAGAATGTGTTTTTTTAACGTGCTAATAAAGTACAGTAAATTATTGACCAAGGAAAAGTAATTTTTTTAAATCGATTAAGCACCACATTTATCAACATTTTTTTCATTTTTGCTTTTATAAGATGGATCAAGCAATTACGATTGCTACTATCAACAACGGTTTATTTGTGTTCCTAAATTTTCTGACAATAATATATAGTGAATTCAATCATTCCTGCTACTCCACATTGGTACATGGTTAAGAAGTATCATATACACAAAATTATTCAAATGCAAAAACATTTTGATCGATAGAATACGAATGAAATATATTTTATCTAAACTTATATTTCTCATCGATGCTTGCACGTTCTTTTTAAATTTAACTTTAGATAAATTTGATTTAAATCGTTTTAATATACCAGTGAGCGAAGTAATACAGGCGGTTGAATTCGCAATTTTCATCAGAAAATATTTGCTATTTCGATTCATTTCATGACTATCTGTTCCGTATCTACTTTCTTCTTATCTACTTTCAGATTGATAATATATGCGTCTAATTATCATCGATATATTTTACTTAATAAAATACGACAGAAGAAGAAGAAGAAGAATGTAATGTTCTGTGTAAAATTAACGTTCTGTGGTATAAATTGATATCAAAATCTTGAAGCAAACGATACACTTTTAAAAATAGCATATGAGTTATATCTATAAACGGCACTTACAATCGTATCAGTTTTATTTCATAGTCCGTCTTGAGTATCACTATTTAACGAGAATGCTCGAAAAGATGTTCGATAGTAAATGCTAACGAGTGTTCGTAGGAAAAGTTTGTTGCTTTTATTTTCGCGACTTTCCAATTCACGTGGTAGCCTCTTGTCTTTATGATGGATCGTAGAGGTCAGTTTCCAGTTGCAAGGGATCGATATCGTTTTCGTAGTAGTTTTCGGAATCTTTAAAGTCAGGAACTACAACGATATTGATAGCGTCCCCCTTCAATTCATAACTATCGTCTGTTATAACTGTTTCCTCTTCCTCCTTCACTTTTACGTCCCCTACTTTTATATTCCCCACATTATGGTCCTCCGTGAGATGGGTTCGAAGAGCAGATAAGGTGTAAAATATTTTGTCACAAAGATTGCATTGATACGTCTTACCATCGGCCGCGCGCAAACAATGCATATAATCCTTCATGGGCTGATACACTTTTCTGTGTAGAGCCATATGCTTCTCATGGTCCATGGAGAGGATAAATTCGTAGGAACAAATTGGACACTTGAGATTGTGTTTCGTCCACATCGTGTGTACCTTCAGTCGGTGGAGATTCTCATAGACGTCGCCGCAAATGGGACACTTGAGGCATATGTGATTCTTCAGGGTCTCCTTGTTCTCGTATATACCGCTACACTCGTTACACTGATACGACTTTTGTTTCTTGCAGGTGTGCTTGAACCAATGTTTCTCCAGCTGAGCCAGGAGATCAAACACTAATTCGCAAGCCGCACAGACAAACATTCCATGATGATCGCGCTTCAGGCCGCACTCCAACATGCTGCTTGAGCATTGATAGTGTTTCTCATAGTTGTCCTTGCGCAATAAGCTCTCGTTGCAGGACTCGCATTGGTTTTGATGCTTGGTCAAATGAGCAAACAACATCCCGGGCTCTGTATTGGAATAATTACAAAAATTACACGCGTAATTCTCCGCTGTCAAGTTCAGGTGCGAGAACAGATGCCTCTGATACGTATTAGGACTGAAGAACGTCGCACCGCATGCGGAGCACTTTAGATAGGGTCTTTTTTTATCTGTATAATGCAGGGAAAGCGGATTCAGTTTCTTCGCCCACTTCTTGTCTCTTTTGATTTGTTCCAAACTGTCATATGTGATATCCTTGAACTTGGGGATACGCTCGTGCTCCTCGGAGGACGTGCTTTGGCTGGTTTCATCTTGTGTCGACTGTTCGCTATTAGCAGCACGCTTTCGCAGGTATACCATCTTGTTATAACTGTGCTTCCACCTACCGTTCTTTTGATTCTTTGAGATCTTATGTATACTCTGCTCTAATAGATCCTCCATTTTCACCGTTGCGCCCTCGAGAGTCTCCAAGGGGGGCATGAGAATGTAATTGTCCTCATTAGACACCGACGGTTCTATCTTACAGGTTACACTGGAGGGATCCTTGGTGAGATACAACAACCCTATCGACGTCTCTTCTTCCTGAGCCTCCATCTTATGCGGAAGAGTTTCCACACTGCTCCGTAGCTTTCGCCCGCTACCACTAACATGCTTGCTCTTCCTGTGGCTCTTGCTCTTCTTCTCCTCCGCGGTCTTCCGCCCCTTCTTGGGCACGTTCTCGCCCTCGATCTCGTCGAGCTTCAGCATCCTGCTACTCCTCAGGTCGCGTCGTCTCATCGATGTTGCCTTACACGATCAATGCGATACGCAATGCGGGAGTACGCGTGTTTACAATTCACCAGGCGCCGTGACATAACCTGACGCAGCGGCGTGTCCTGTTAAACAAAAGTCACGGTTACGCTTGAAAACGCTTGAAGAAAACGTGCGATCTCGCGGACTCCGTCGCGGAGGACGGGGGCTCGACGATATACTCACGTGATCGCGGGGGTCATAGTGGGGTCCCGACCTGGCTCGGCCGTCGTTCACGACGCGCCGTCACGTTGCATCCCCGCGCATTGATTTTTCCGGGATCCGGATCTCTCTGGACGCATGGCTGTGCCCCCGCTGTGTTTCCAACGTGCCTGGCGCAAATATACAACCGCGGGTTACGCCCGCCGGCTGCGACTCCGACGCTCCTGGCCGTGCGACCGCACGCCCGCGATCTCGGCTGCCCACCGTGTATCACCGTGTGTACTTTTCTCTCCCCGATATAAAAGCTGGATCAGCTGTTCCTCGAAACGGATGTGCGAGAGAGAGACCGACGACGGGTCTCGTTCGCCATGCCGCGTAGCGTCGCCCCGTCCACCGTTTGCTCCGTCCTTCGTTCTCCTCGTTTCCTAGTAGAAAGGGCTCCGATAACGACCGAGGCGATTCGCGCCGCGAATCGATGCGAGGAGAAGAAAGGAAGGAAGAAAGAAAGAAAGAAAGAAAGAAAGAAAGAAAGAAAGAAAGGAAAGGAAGGAAAGGAAGAAAGCACGGTCCGACGCAGTTCCCGTCTGCCAGCTTTCCTTCCCTCGGACGCACGCACACGCGGAACGATAAGGCCCGGATGTTCGCCTATTTTGTTTTAAACGAAACTTCCTGTTTGACGGAAAAGGAGGAAGAGACGGAGGAAGAGACGTTTGCGCGCTTTCTTCCGGATTTTCTTTAATCGCTCGTTCGTCTTACTTGTGGATCAACGGGATGGACTTGCACTTCTCTTCGTTTTTTTTTTTTTAAGCTGGCCAAGTTAAAACGGAGTCGGATCTTTCCAGCGAAAGTATCTCTCTTTCCTTTCTCCTCGTCTCTTTTGCTCTCTGTTTTCTTTTTCTCTCTCTTTCTTTTTATGGACGCCATATATACAGTGTCTTTCAAAAAGTCATATTGCTCGGGCTGTCCAAAAACGTGACGCTCGATGTCAAGTTACAAACTCACAATGCGAACACACGCGGGTTGTTAATTCATAGTTGTTTATTTATTAAGGCCACGTCAATTGTTATCGAACGAAGTTAACAATCTTAATCAAAAAGACTTCACAAAAATTCTAATCTATCTTCTCGACATTTTTCTCTTCACTAGTTTGCTCTATTATAAACTTAAACATAAAAATGCACGATTTATTTCCCAACAACGGGGATACTTAAAAAAAATGGAAAAAAAAAGAAAAAAGCCTAATTTTTCGAGACTTCCAACTTTTAGTATAAGAGTAGTTAAAATTAATTTTTTTATATCATCTACGCGTTCACAACTTTTATGCAGAGCATAAAAAAAATCTTCGCTATTTCTTTTCTCTACGAAGCTCCTCGAGATTCCAACGAAGAACTCAAAGAATTTAAAATCTTAAGATAAGTAACTTTCTTTCTTTCAATTCTATTGAAATTTTCTTTAAAATTATTGTAGATATACGAATGAATATCGCGTTATCTCTTTCTATTTACATTTTCGGCAATACCAACTACCGAGTCAGTTCTTGTCGATCTTTCTCTTTTTGTGATCGTGCCCGTGGGCAAAATGGTCGGCGTGGGCATCGTGATAGTCGTAACCGTGACCGTGCGCCGACACGTGACCAAGCCCATGGTCGAAGCCGTGGGCGAGGGGGGCGACGCCGTGGACGAGGGGAGCGACGCCGTGGGCGAGGGGGGCGAAGCCGTGGTCCAAGTGCACCGGAACCGACGGCGGATGGACGTAAAGATGATCTGGTGCGTAGCCGCGCGCGTAGATGGCGCCACTGAGGCTACTGGCTGGGATCAGCGGAAGCGGCGGGGGTGGCAACGGGTGCACCGGAACCGGAACCGGTACAGGTACCGGTACCGGCACTGGATGCTTCACCGGGACCGGATACGGCTGTTGCACTGGTACCACGACCGGTTGCTTCACCGGAATCGGCACCGGATGCTCCACAGGAATCGGCACTGCCTGCGTAATTAAAGAAATATTTTGATTATCTGCGTTTTAAATCACGGGACTTTGTCCCGGAAGAAATGAAAATGTATGTATAAAGAAGAAAGAAAAAAAGAGAAAAACAGTTATGATCTGCAAACGATCACATTTCATAAATGTAATTTTAATTTAAAGATGACTTTTTTTTTTACAATAATTAGGTCATTCATAGTTTTTATTTATGATGAGAGGCTTTTCTTGAAATTCCTGAGATGCGATTAAATGAAGATAATATTTTTCATCATAAAGTCGACTTAACATGTTTAAAAAATTAGCTCGATTAGGTCACTTATTAATACAAGTTAATCTAAGTATGAAGAAATTATTGCGAACTTTTTCCGCGTTGCTTTCCATAAGAAGAATTTCTGTAAAAAGGAGGAATGGTCAACGTCATTGTTAATAAACTTCACGTCCCAATGAAAGTAAAATGGACGATATGCTACCTGAGGTATCGGTACCGGGACGGGGACCGGTTTGTGAATGATTTTCTCGATCGGTACCGGAACGTGATACGGTTTCTCTATAATCACCGGCTCCGGAACTGGCACGGGCTTCTCCAACACCACGTGCTTTGTTATGTACACTGGAAGAGTTTTCAGAATTCCGGGTGTCAGAGCGATGCCACCGTTGCCATAAGTCACATCTGCCAAGTGCAACCTGCCACTCGACATAAAATGTTAATGAATATAACGGTTAAAGTCGTTGTTACAATCTTTAAAAAGATTTAAGCCCATAGGAGAAGATAGAGAAGAACAGTTTTGCTGGAAAATCTAAAAATCTTTTGGCCAGGTTTGAAAAGAACTTTGTTAGACCATCAAAATTATTATATGAGACGTTTAAACGTGACACTAATATTGTAAAAATTTTTTATCTTCTAGTAACTAATTTGAACGTCATACATAATAATTTTGAAGGCTCAACATTATTTTCAGATCTGTATCTGATTAAATTTTTAGATTTACCAGCAAAATTATTCTAATTCCGTAAAGGAATTAGAATAAAATTTTCAAGCAAAGAGATAACATAAAAATATATGACGCTATATAAATAAATGTATAATATTATAAATAATACTCAAAGACTCTGTAATATTCGTGTGATTTAATTAGGATTATTTTGAGATGCTAAAACTTATAAAATATCGAGAGAATATAAATATTATTTTAATTCTGAATTATCCTAAATTTTTCATTTATTATTTTTATATTGATAAGAATAGGTAGATAAGAATAGGTATAATATAATAACAATAGGTATCTTTTTACCCCGCGTGCAAATTGACTTCGGGAAGTTTCAGTCCTTTCCAAGGAGCATGGTCAATTGCCCATGGTTGTCCATACCCATAAGGACTCGGTAGACCGATCCATCCGTCGTTACCGGTGATACTGCGTTTTTGCTGTTTCGCATCTTTTGGCACCGATGCAAACGCGCAGGTGCACGATAATGTCAGGAACAGCTGAAATATAGCCCCGATAAAAAATACAAATTTTGATAAATTAATTAATTATTATTTTATAGAAAGACCTCCACAAATCATTCGGTACATTGTATGAAAAGTAAAGTGAATATAATGAAAATGGAAGGTTTAGTTTTAGAAAACATTAATGATTATTTTTAAAGATATTCCAGATATTCTACCAGATATTCTACATAAGCGTAATTTTTTTATCTCGATTTATCGTAATTAAGTGTGAAAGTATGATTACTCACAAAGATCTTCAACATTGCTCTCTTGTCGCGGATAAACTGTTCGTAAGATCGTAACAACGAAGCCTTTTATATTTGCGAATCCAGTGATAGCTTGATGGATACAGAGGGACAGGTCAAGTTCCCATTTAAGCTCAAATCGGAAATAATTTACCTTTGTCGTTTGATGTTTCGAACTTCCGGCGATGAAAGTTACCTGTGATCCAATTCGCGGCGAATATATTTCAAAGTAATAGACATATGGACCTCGTAGAGAATGGAACAAGATGATAACCTTATACATTATAAAGAATATTTTACGATAGCAAATATTAAATAATATTAAAAAAGTATATTTAAGAGAGATCAATTAAACAATAGATATTAAATTGATTATTGTCAGTTCGATTTACGTACAATAGAACACAATAGATATATAAAATTAATAATAATAAAATTATATTTATATATATTAATAATAATAAATAATAATAAAATAATTAATAAAATTTATTAAATAAAAATTTAAATAATACTTTAAATTTTATTTTATATTAATATAAAAATAGATATACGTATGTCTCTTACCAAGAACGTCACCAGTTTTGTACTCAATTATGAGCTCGTATTTACAGTATTGACATTGTAATTATTTCCAATGATTAAAGCGTACTACTTACCTACATCCCTATGCTTACTTAATTATGCCCGAAACCGTACTTCCGTGCACGTACAGTGAAAAGGAAAACGCTTAAGAATTTCGCATGCCGTTTAATGAATGATGGATGAACATTGATAACATAAAGCTGCAACAACATACTCATTCTCAGTCTACATACTAGTATTCTGGATTAGCTAATCCCAGCTTATGCATTATTACTCATTTTTGCAATAATTTTCTACTTACGATATATCAAAAAAGATATAAATAATATATTAATTTTCAACAATACTTTCGATAAATCAGCAAGGTCGCATCTTATATATTAAATATGATTGAAGTAAAAACGATGAAAAAACAGATACGATGAAAAAAAAAGACTAAAAAAATTAAATCTGGCAAGAATAGGAAGGCAAAAAACGGAAACGAATTAAATTTCAGGCGTCTTCGGAAATTCATAAAAGAAAAGAGGGACGAATAGTGCGAGCGATGAAAGTTTTTTCCTGCTTCCTCGTAAGCAGCAAATGTTATTTCCTCGTCGAAATGCACGTTAGATGAGCCGTTTCTTTCTTCGTTACACTTCACCTTCGTGTACGTGCATTCCGTTAATTCGCGATACATAGCTGGCGAACCTTGGCCAAGTGTCATTGGTCATGTTTTACATTGTGCTGTTACGCGTTCGTCGGGCTCGAACTCGCCGATGAATAATGAATGCCCGATAGCGTGGCCGGCATTAGGAACATGACGGCACTTAGAAAATGGCGCTTAGAAAATGAAAGTTAGAAAAGTCTTTGCGGTTGATGCGGAAGCAAAGAGGAAAAGGCGTCCGTCTCGATCTCGTTGGCCGAATAAAGGACACCGGAAGACGCTGAAAGAAACCGAAGTTGCCATTTGCATTCGCTACCGCATAGCCTTCACCTCTCGCTGTTGCGCAAAACTCACGAATTACGTCGTCGTTAACTCATTATTGAGAAATATTCATCATCAGCCCTTCCGCACATTTTTATTTCACGATAACGAATTATTAATTAATTATTTAATCGCCATGAGCGTATTTAAACACAATTGAAACATCATCGATGATTTATTGTATCATCTGATCTCGAATGATATATAATTTTAAGATTTTGGAATAAATAATAAATTTAGAATAAAAGCAATAATTTTATATGTCTTGTATTTTTAATACATGTTTTATACACATGGAAAAAAATAGCTTTGCTGAAGTATTTATAAATTTGACCAGATACAGAAAAATAATCTCGTTGATATCAAAATAATTATATAGTTCAAATTGATTGCTGATGATTGAATACCAAGTTTTCGTAGTGTTATTATTATATTTAAGGGTTTTACATGATAATTTTAGTAAAACTATTTTCAGTTGTATCTAGTCATATTTTTAAATACTTCAACAAAATTGTATTTTTCACGTGTATTTACACATGTGTATTCTTCTAATGTTTCTCGTATTAAATAAAATTAGATGCGTAATTCTGATACAAATTGTAAATCTTCCGAGGAGAGCTAATGATGTCTGTTTTATAATGATAATTATTGATACGCTACATTTTACGCGCAAATTAATTCCAATGGCACGGTATCTCAATGCCATTGAGTTGAACGCTCACGTATCAAGCACGATCGTGGCTATCTAACGATCTGGAAGGCCAAACGTACGATTGCGTGGCTAATGTATGCTGCAAAATTTTTCACGCGTCTTCCTCGTCACTTCCGTTCAATCTCCTAGGAGAGAAAAGCAGCCCCGACCGCCATTTGGCTGCCACCCAGGTTCGGACAGCAGCGAAAGTGTATCGGCCCATAGAATTATTCCATCTTCTTTCGGTCGAACAATGTGTCGCGTCGCGTTTGATGGCCTATAAATACATATGGGGGTCATGATTCCGATACGAACTCAGTTTTTCATCGGCATCGCGATCGACAACTGGAATCCTCGAGCGAACAACATCATGAGGCTTCTTCTGGTAGCAGTGCGAATTTTCACTTTCCATCTTATCGCTGTCGCTCGCGTTTGACGTAAATCCGTATGATTTACATTCGGGGAGACGATAAGAAATGCGACGCGTTGATTCAGTGATTTGTGCATTGTTTGTGAATTGCGATGGATAATTGTGCTGTTTATAATATCGTGCGATTTCAACTAATCGTAATCTATAATCACCAATAAAATAAAATCATTAAAGCAATAAGACGGGAGATGATGAACCATACTCTCTTTTTATTATTACGATCGGAGGCTTAATTCGAATAGAATTTTTATTTTTCTGGACATTGTTATCGTGTCCAGAAAGATTTGATACAGTTTCTAACGTCGTTAATTAAATTATTGTTAAGCTATAATATTTTATATAATTAATTTTTTTTTAAATAGTTTGTCCAAGAATTTCATCTTTAAAAATATCGATTATTACTTGATTTGATGTTTCTTTATCACGTTTTTCTAGATACTATCGTTGGTATTGGTCAGCAGTATGGCTATTACTGTTGAGAACAATTTGAAGCAACAGCATAGTTCTTTCGTAGAAACGAAAAAACATGGAAAAAGGGGTTTGGATGACTTTGCGTATCTACAAAATTTACAGGAACATCACGAATACTTGTACGATCCACCGTCGGTGCCACCGGCACCAGTTTACGAGATTCCGGTTCCAGACGCCGGACATCCGGTACCAGGACACATACCGGAACCGTCACCTCCTATCGTTGGACATCCAGTCGGTGAGTTAATTCAGATATGTTGATATGATTGTTTTCCGATATGGTTGTTCCGATATTATATTTATTCTGAGATAAAATCATGTTGATATAATCTGAATTATATCAAATTAATTGAACTTAATTCTACAAGAATATTGAAAATTACTAAAATTGTTGAAAACTCTTAAAATTAATTTGAAAAGGAATATTCATACATAAATTGTTTTTCATTTAAAGCTTCACAAAGATCTAAAAATACTAAATACAGATGTAAAAGTAATTTTGTTAAGCCACCAAAATATTTATGTAGAGTGTTCAAATTGTTTGCTAAAATACAAAAAAATGTTTGCATTATTTTCATCATGCTGTAGACTCCTTTGCAATTATTTTGATGGTCCAACAAAATTATCCTCAGATCCTTTACTTTGTCAAATTTTTAAATACTTCATCAAAACCATTCTTTTTATGTTTTTTTTTCTAATTTTTTTATCAATTAGATTAAATAAAATTAAGACTTGGTATTCATTATTTCCATATTAATGAATGCATTTGCGACATCTTTTTATCCGTTCCAGCGGCGGTGCCTGTGCCTGTGCCCGTCCCACAACCGCATCCGGTACCGCAACCAGTCGCGGTACCCGTGGCAGTGCCGGTTACGAAGCATGTACCGGTCGCCGTGCCCGTACCAGTTCACATCGACCGTGCGGTGCCGGTAGCAGTGCCCGTACCTAAACCGTACCCCGTCCCCGTGGAGAAGATCGTCCACGTGGACCGGCCGGTTCCGGTACCGGTTGAGAAACCGGTACACATCCCGGTCGATCGGCCGGTGCACGTGCCGGTACCGGTACCGAAACCGTATCCCGTCGCCTTCGAGAAGATCGTGCACGTAGATCGACCGTATCCGGTGCACGTGGCCGTGCCGGTGCACGTGCCGAAGCCATACCCTGTGCCGGTTGCCATACACGCACATTACAAGTCACACAATTGGTAACTCACTCATCAGAATTTATTTTGATATGGCGGCGACATATTTTCACTTATGGTCACAGTTAACATACCCGCATTATATTCATAATAATATAAGTGCAAATATTTTATTCCTGTTGTAGATTTATTGTTGATTACACAATTAATCTTGCCTGACTGAAATTGTACGTTAGAAATTGATTACTTTATGTATGGGTCTCTTCTTTAATAAACAATATTTAATTAAGAAGCTTACTGAATCTTAGATATGTGTTCCTCGTTAGGATTGTCCCATCTCTTCGTTGCTCATCGATTTTTTTATATAAATGTAAAAGAGTCAAATATTTTTTTTAGAAACCTTCCAGAATTCTTAGAAACTTTGAGTGTAATATTACTAACGTCACCACGTATGGTGTGAACTTTCTTTATTAGTAAGTATCTATAACATGATTAATGCAGTAACAATGTTGCGCATCAGAGAGGTAGTTACAAGGTGAGACAATTTATTTATGCATTTATATACCTAACGGAAAGTTTATAAACTATGCAATGTCGGCACGTCCTTGCCCTTTAAAAATGATAATATATTAAATTAAATTATATATTATACATTTTTTTTACATATTTAATATTTATGTATGTATTTTTGAGATAATTAATAATCAATAATATAATAATTTTATTTCAAAGATTTCATCAAAAGTAAGAAAGTGATAAATAACGTGCTAATTAATATATTACACATGATTAGAAAGAATGGTTTTGCTGAAATATCTAATAATTCGATCAGATACAGATCTGAAAAAAATTTTATTGAACCCTCAAAATTATATAGAAGGTTTAAACATGATAATAATAGTGCAAAAACTTATTATATTCTAAATCTCAATCAATTTAAATGTTGTAATTATTTTGATAATTAGTAAAACACACACACACACACACATACACACACACAGAACAATTCTACTGAAGTGTCTAAAAATTTGGCTACATTCGAATCTGAAAATAATATTATTAGTTCTATATATAATAATTACTCGAAAAGTAAAGACTCTTTAAGACTAATAAAGTAGCGAAAGGTGTAGGAAAATGGATTGAAAAATGTAGAAAGTGTAAACGACAAAAAATTTGACATATTGCATTAACTGGCAGTTTTATTATCATGCTGGAGGGAAGCTTCTCAACAGCCAATGAAATGTTATTGCGTGTCCTTCTTATTTGTGTCTGCGCATTGAGCGATACGATGTGGAAAATGTCGCTCCTACGATCGGAAAAAGTGTACCGATTGGAGGGAACGACAGGGAAAGGTCGCGTTTTCCACGTATTCTCGCGACTCTCATGCATTGTTGACGAGCGAATTGCTAGGCGAGGCGCTACCACCGCTCGCGTTAAGAAACCGTATATAATCCCACTTTCGTCTATAGGCTGGCCGAACTGCATTTATTAATCAGCTCCGAAGAATTCGCGAATTTTCACGATCGATCGACAAAGACCTTTTGTTTAAATTATTCAGCAATCCGTACTTCTCTCGATGAATGTAATATTCAAACTCTCTCTGTGCTTTTAACAATAATACTAATTATTTTCATGATCTACACGACAACAGTTTTGCTAAAGAAAACAAGAATTTGAGATAGATTTAGATTTGAAGAATTATTTTTCTTGGACCATCAAGATTATTACGTAGGATGTTTGAGTATGATGATAATGTGCAAAATTTTTTTATATTTTAACAATTAATTTAAACATTCTATGTAAGTGTTTTTCATGGCTCAATAAAATTGTTTTTCAGATTTATATTTGACCAAATTTTTAAATCTTTCAGCATAACTTTTTTTATGTATCTGTATATATCTATCTAGCATTTATATTAAAATACAATTTATCTTCAGAAAAATGAAGCTATTACATCTTTTTCAATTTGCATCGTAAAAAATTTAATAATTAGACATAATCTGGATATATAGATAAATGTTGTCACTAATATGTTAATATGTTAATAGTACAAAATAAATGTAAACTTTAGCATAGTATCAAGTTAAATTATATTTATCATGTGTAAAATTGTATTAATTCAATACTTTTTAAACATTTGTTTTAATAATTTTACATTTTAAATTAAGTTAAACACAAAAAATTACAAAAAACAATTTAGATAATAAACGTCTATTACATTTATGTGTTGCATTTCTAACACAAAAATTTAACCAGTACATTTTTTAATACATCCACCTTTCTTTTATCGTATTGATTGACAGGTCACTTTGACTGCTTGTGGAAATGAATTGTTTAGCAGCAAGTAGATCCTGAGTAGATGATTACGAGGGAGATAAACAGTCGGGCAGTGTTAGTTAAGAGAGTGGACTGCTATACATGATCTCGATATATCTCTGATCGTGTGAACAAACACGATGGTTTCCTGATTATCGACCATCATTCATACTGGTTACTCCAGTAAATAAAGGGCAAAAACACATGGACGTTCTCGCCCTATGTCATCCGAGAAAAGACTCATGTCACCCATCAGATCACTATGCTCCAAAAGGAAACTCGTAACCCCGTTACGGTGAATCGCTATCTCTCTGCCATCAGGGCTCTCAGTATCCGTTTAACAAGGTAGATACGCGGATTTTCTCTCCTTCGGATCTTCCTATGGAATGCCGAATTTCTCCGCCTCTGCGAAGAGAGATTTTGTTCGCGTTCGTATTTTTGATGCTGAACTTCGTGAGCTACGTGAAAAATTTGACGATCATTCACGCATTGCAAAAGGAATATTTCCTAATTCGGATTTCACGGCATAGATCACACAAAGTTGAGTGTAATTTTCATAATTTATTTGTTCACGATATGATATGTAATACGTTTTTGTGGATTTAACATTTGTGGATTGACATGCACATGACATGTTACTTACATATGTTGTATTTGAATGTTGAAATAATTTAAAAAAAAAAAAAAAAAAACAAGAAGTGCAGAACTAAAAGACGCAACAGAAAGTGGAAATAAAGATTTCTGATAATCTATCTTATAATAATTATATTGTTTGCTTAATTATTAATTTAAATTACATAATTACATAATTACATAATTATTTAAATTACATAAATTACATAATTATTAACATATAAGAATAAAAATTTACTTAATAAATGTCAAATTTCATTACTCCTTGATAATAGTTTTAATTTTTTTATTAAGATTTTAACAATAATTTAGCATATTGATAAATTTATCAGTTTTACCGTGTAAAGAAAATATTAGATAATTTTAATAAAAATTTTTAACAATTGCTATTATTTTTTTTTCTATTGTTAAAATATTTTAGTCTGAATGTCGTTGCATAAAATGGTTGCTTAATTGCTAAAATTCCTTCGTGGTTGCCATCACACGATTGCAAGTACGCTTCTTTCGATGATTTTCATAGTTATGTATTTGTATAAAATTCACATCACGACTTTCAACTTTTATGTCAACTTCTCTAGAGGAAAGAGACCTACTCTAAGGGACTCCCGTCTTACGCGCGAGTTCTTTCTTTTGTATATAGCGATTTATTTTAATAGGACCTCGGTTACGGTAACTATGTCTACGATAGACACCAGTAATAATGTATAACAGTTACACGTAGCAAGTGCTATAGCGTATCTATAGCGAGCTCATGCTTAATTAATTCTTCGGCGCCTTTCGCGCTCGATAGGCGTTACACTTGACACCAAAGGCGCGGGATCCATAACGCCGACTTAAAATCTTAAACACCGCGATCGAAGAAAATGAACTCTATAGGGATTAATTTGAAACAACATAAAATCAATTATTATATTCTAGAAAGTAGCATTACTCTTGCTTCCTATCGCACTGACCGAACCTAGTCAGTTATTCATTTCATATTAATTTGTCGGACATAATTTTGATTAACTTTCGAAGTCGAACTGTCAAGTGTTATAAAATTTTTAGAATTACGTATTTTTAATTAATATATATTTTATTTGTTATTTAAAATGTATATAACTGTAACGAATTTGCTATATTTTACTTAAGACTATTAATAATGTTTGATGCTTTATTTACAATACTTTATTGTACTTGGTAATTTATTTGAATTTTTAATATCACAATTTAATATTTTATTTTCTATGTTGAAAATTTTATTAGACATTAGGTAGCTAAATAGCTGTAAATTGGAGAAAATGGTGAATCTTTTTTTAGTTATATTTCTTCTTGAGCTATACACTCCTAAATACAGAATCAATAGATATAAAGATAGATGTGCTATGCGTCTTTAGTTGATAACATTTGATTGATTGCTAGTGCATTCTTATACATATAAGATATATTATTATAACATATTATTATAATATATTTAATTAGAATATATTTAATTTTATGTTGTTATATTTGATTTTATATCTATTTTTATATTTAATTTAATGATACGATTATTTTTTTATATTATTAAAAAGTTAATTATGTAAATGCGGAGTTCTATAAGTTAAACTTTATAATTATTCCTTATTCATTGCATTTTAGATTACTGGAACACCGATTAATCCATCAATTTTGTGGCTTAATATTAGAAAAAGTTTTCTATATTTTTAAGGATTTTAAATTGCTATCATTTTAAATTTAGTGAATAAAAAAAATAAATTTTAAATAATTTTTATTTTTTAATTTAAAATATATAAAAACGAAATGTCTTATTAAGAGTTAAAACTTTTTATATTTTTATTTGGCATAACATTACATAATATTACTAATTTATAGTTTCTATAGAAAAATTTTTGAAGTTCTAGACTACTATTATTTATATTTGAAATATACATAATTACTTTACAGAAATTACTGCAAACATTTTATATTTCGATTATAGATTTTATGTATTCTTTAAATATATCGGACTATCACCATTTTAAAAGCGCAAATGATAATATCCCTCACTTATTTATTGCATCTGATAATAAATAATTATTTTAATAATTTCGATAATAAAATTATGAAAATACACAAACAAAAAGTCTTTCTGTAAAGCTTTCACTTTTATTACAATTCGATAAATCTGTTGATCGCGCAGTCGCAATACACCGATGTCGTCGAATCATAGTCAATGAACAAACAAGGATACGCATGTGTATGTGAGAACATATGAATATGAGAACAACTTCTGACGTGAGTGAGTAGTCGAGAATTGCTGAGGACCGACAAGAAAAAGACATCCGAAGTCGTAGCGTAGGACATTAGCGGAAGTGGATATCGATAATCCTTTTTAAGAAGAATTTTCTCAGGTGTGCTACAGGCGATGTCTCATGAGAATTGAATTAAAAAAAAAAAGAAAACAAAATCTCAAGATTTAAAAATCGAATAAAAGGTTTTTTAATTCTGAACGCTTTGAAAGTATTGAGAATTTGAATAATTTTGAAGAGAGAATTATGAACCTTATATTTATTTTAATAATCAAAGGCTTTAAATACCAAAATATTTTATTAATTTTTAATTATTATACATCATAAGAAAGACATCTTAAGAAATGTTAATTACGAAAATTTAAAATTTTGTTAATTTTAAAGGTCGTTGCTTCTATCGATTTTAGGGATCAAGATCATATTTGGTAACTGAGAAATTTGCTTGTTTTGGAAATTGAGAGTCATATTGGTGCGAAAGAATGGGCACTTTTCAAGAATATCTTTCCGAAAGATTGGAAAATAATACGCGTCGTGTTTCGCGTCGAATAAACGATGTAATACGTAATCCGAATCTGAGGCGCATATTATTTTTTTTCACGATTGGAAAGATTCTCAACATCGTGCTACATGTTATTGACGAATATAAGGTGTCGAAATTAATTGATATTGATAATTGTCCAAGACAGTGAGTTTAATTCGAGTCGTTGTGATGTGTTCCCAGATTAATATGGTGTCTATAAAAAGATTAGGACTCGCCGGATCCTGTACGTTCTCCATTGGACTTATTAGTTATAGCTTGGGATTTCCTTCTATGTTAAAAATGCAAGTTAAATCTGTAAGTAATGTCAATCTAACGAGTTTTCCAAATACTGAAATTAGAATTGCAAGGAAGATAATTCTTTCAATACTAAATCATTACATTTAAAGACGTAAATAGTAAGATAAGAAAATTTGTTTCATGTAATTTTATATGAATTTCATATAAATTTATATAAAATCACATGAGAAAAATTTTTTCTTTGTGAAAAGTTTAATAATGATTAGAGTTTATTAATGATGATTGAAAACTAAAAATATTGTTATAGTAATTTTCATGAAATAACTTTCGAACATTGCGTTTAAAAAAAGAAAAGATTTGTGCCAAGATACTATGTTTTACAAAATTTACAGCAAGTTAGACTGAAGAAAGGAAATGAAATTCGCGGTTTCTGGGAGAAACTCCCGCAACCGCTGGATTTTAATATCTATGTCTTTAATGTAACAAATCCTAGTGAAGTTTCATCGGGAATGAAACCGATTGTTCAAGAACTAGGACCTTTTCATTACGAGTAAGTAATTTTTTTATTAATTTAATTAATAAAAATATAATTAAAAATATGATAAATGTACCAATAAAGGGAGTTTGCCCCGATGATTTGATTTTAATATATATTATCAAGATCACCCTGATGAAATGACCCTGAACAATGTTCAAAAGGTTTTCCATCATTATTCGTTACAACGTTATTAACAAAAAAGGTTGAAAAATATACCAGTTCGTAGCAGCATTAAAAAACATAATTTGTCGATGATTCATATGAGGGATGTACCACAATGATATTTAACTAGCACTGTGATACGAGTTGGGTTAAATTAGATTTTTCAGTAGTGGAGCCCCCCTGTAAGGGGATGGAACACATTGTCTCAATAGCATTAATTTTTACTGTAATTTAATTTATGATTGAAGAGGCGATTTATCACTTATCATATAAGTAATGCGAATCTTTCAACACAACAAATGTTATGTAATATATATTTCTGTACACTTTGTATACTTTTAAAAATTTTAAAAGTATAATTTGTTTATTATTTTAGAAGTAAAAATCTATTTAAAGAATTTGTGTGTATTAAATAATTTGTCTGTAATTCTAAAAAAAATAATATATAAATAACATGTGAAAGTTTAAAGGAAATTGATGAACATTTGTGATTTCCAGTTTGTTTCGAGATAAAGAAGATATCGTGGACCGAGAGGAAGACGACACTGTTGAGTATAGTTTGCGACAAGTTTGGTATTTTAATCAGGAGAAGAGTATCATGTCGGAGAACACAGAAATTTATTCGTTTCATCCCCTCATGATAGCATTAATCTTGTTTACTCAACAAGAAAGACCAAAGGCAATGGGAATAATTAGTACGTACTTACGATAAAATAGAAGAAACTCATTTTTATATGATAGAAAAAGATTAAATATTTGCTTTAATGTAGATTTAATGCATAGATATTTAGGGCATAGGATTTTATCAATTTCATATTTCGAGATTCTCGTTAGTTTCATAAATCAAATATCTTATAAATTATGAAAATCGATAAATTAAGTTAATCTTGAAAATTTTTGCTATTTCATATTTCGATAATTAATTTTTTTTTTTTATAAAAATGTAATTGATTTTTAATTATCAAGCTAAATGAGTTATATATACATACTTTTCCTATGTCCATTCCCAAATATGTACTTATATATGTGTTATATTATATGTGTTATATGTGTTATATTATACTTTGTGTCTAAAAGTTTTATACAAGACGAAATAAACGTTATTATTTATTTTTATTCCGACATTAATGATATATTTTTAGGTAAAGCGCTAGACAGTATTTTCAATAAACCCGAGTCGATATTTATTAAAACCACCGTAAAAGAGCTGTTCTTTTACGGTATATCTTTCGATTGCACGGATGTAAAAGATTTCGCTGGATCCGCAGTCTGCAGTGCATTGCAGGAAAAGGAAGACATATTAATCAAGGAGGTTGATTTACGCTATAGATTTGGTTATTTTGCTAAGGTAACGCTACATTACTTACTACATTACTTACAAATGTTACTTACAAATCGGTTATAATGAATCAAATAAATCAAAATCAATAATCAGTATGAACAAAAATAAAAATAAAACAAACGTTTTGATCTTATAATCAGATCATCTTCAGATGTTAGATCGTGAACTTACAAAGAATATAATATACAATTACGCACATTTGATTGAATGCGAATCTGTGTGAGTGCGACAATATTATACCGTTATATTTTTTATTACTTTACTTATATATAATGTTGTAATATTACATGAAATGTATGTAATATTATATTAAATACATTAAATAATGTAATATTACATATTTCTAAAAGTAGATATTTTCTGTAAAATATTATTTGTATCTTCCAGACAAATGGAAGTCGTTTGCCGAATCGCATAAGAGTATATCGCGGAATCAAGAAATCTGAAGACGTGGGTCGTGTGCTAACAATAGGAAATGAAACGAAGATGGACATATGGTCAGGTAGCCCTTGCAACGATTTTCGTGGCACGGACGGAACTATCTTTCCGCCATTTCTCACTAAGGAAAAAAAAGTCTGGGCACACTCCATAGACATCTGTCGAAGTATCGGCGCGTACTATGTTGAACCAGGAAAGATTCAAGGTATTTATAATTTTCCATGAAAAAAATATCTTCTTTAAATTGATTTCTTATTTTAGTTGTACGAGTCACAAAGTTAGTATAATCTCCTAACGTAATTATTTACTATTAAATAATTTTGTTTAATAGATTTAGTTAATTAATACTACTTCTAAAGTAAGAAAATTTTAATTAACATCAGTAACTTATTTCGTTTTTATTCCAAAATCTTTTTAAATTCATGTCAGAATACTCACACACTTTAATAATTATAATTTATCATTTTATATTTATTTACATTTTTAAATTTAAAACAATATGAATATAAGAATGTAGTATAAATACCGCGGTGTGTCTTATCAATTCTGAGACCGCATTTGGAAATTGTAAAACTCGGAATTCTCTGTAAAACAATCTTTTTAAATAATTTTGCATTGTAGGTTTCAAAACGCTGCACTATACGGCGGATCTAGGGGATCCCTCTAAGGACGAGAGTGTGAGGTGTCTCTGTCAGGAATCCGAAGGTTGCATGCCTAAAAACATATACAACGCGGGTCCTTGCCAGAATGTGCCTATAAGAATAAGTCTACCTCATTTTTACGATTCGGATCCACGATATCTTGAGATGATCGAAGGAATAAATCCCGATCCTGTAGGTCTAATGACTGTTTATTATTCATTAAAATAAACATACCAGTTACTTTCGCCCCTTTCTATTTTTTACTCATATGAAGATTTTTTTTTTTACACGAAATAGCTTCTCTTCTTTTTATGTGTTCCAAGAATATATGTAATTATACACGTTTTATAACGAGGGAGATTAATAATAATAAAGGGAGATTATACTAATAAAATTAATTTTATATAATAATAAATAAACTTCAAGAACAAAACGTAAATTTATTATTTTAAATCGTGCAAGTTGCCATGAAATGTCAAAAAATTATAATGCTTACAATTAATGATAATGAGATGTATTACTTATAGGAGAAGCATCAGATGACTTTTGATTTTGACGCGATGACAGGCACCCCGATAAAGGCGTACAAAAAGATTCAACTCAACGTAATGGTTGGACCCATTGCTAAAGTTAAATTGATGAAAACTTTTCCGGAAGCTCTTTTCCCATTATTTTGGATAGAGGATGGACTTGAACTCGGGGATATTCTTATAAAACCACTGAAAGTTGCATATACACAGATTTTAGTTGCAAAGTGAGTGAGATGGTACCGTAATCTTTTCACGAACATGTTGTTCTATTATTAGTGATTTAGTAATTTAATATACTTTAGCTAGTAATTTAGCTTCAGAAAAATTAAGCCTGGGAAAGAATTTTTTTCATGGAATTAATCAAAAATTATAGTGAGTGTTGGATCTATTTGCTCTTGCAGGATAATAATGTGGCTCATGATACTAGGTGGTATAGGCATGATGATAACTGCCGGAGTGAGATATTATAAGGAAAATAATGCTGCAGCGCCGGATCTTTTGCCGGGAAAGGAGAGCAAAGCGTCAGAGCAAGAGAAATCAAACATCAGTACTATACAAGTTGGAGTGCCACCCAGCATTGATTAACAGGGAGTTGTAATTATTATTATGTGAACATTGAAGAAGATAAGAGGCGTTATTGATTGCGTAATATCGATCGCGACATGTCAAAAATAATTTAGAAGATGTTTAATATTTTGATAATATTTTGACGATAATATTTACTTCAGTTTTTTTATTATTATTTTATCATTAGATCGAAGTAATATATCCGTAATGGAAACATAAAGACTAAGATGGGCTAACTATCTTTGCGTATGGATGAGGAAAGAGCACCAAAAAGAGTGAATGAAATAGTATGTATGATAACTAATAACGCAGAAGATCAACCCCGCATTGATGGGGGTGGGGGGGGAGGTCGCAAGGTTAAGGATGACCTGAGGAGAACGTCAGTTATCAATTGAAAAAGGATTGCGAGGGACAGGGATGTTTGGAGAGACATAATGTAGACTAAGGCTCACTCCGAGCTGTGACGCCATTGAAAGAAGAAAGAATATATCTGTAACACAAATGCGCGCGTAGTCAATTAACATTTTTATTATATCTGTAATGCGTGGATAAACGAAATGTAAGTCAGGATTTTGCAAAAATGAATCTATTTTGAAAAAAGAATTACATTAACAATTTTTTTTAGTTTTAATATTTATAAATGTTACTAGGTAAATATCTCTATTAGTTTTACACCTGATATTAATAAGAAAATTGCTGTAAAATTAAGAAAATATCAGTGTTAAATCTTACATGATTTTCTCGAACTACTGAATTTTTACTTTTATTTGTTTATCCATACATTATAGATGTATTATAATATTATTGAATATCGTTGTTAAACGATACGATAGACATTAGAATAATGATACATTTTAATTTCCAACTTAGTTACTTGTGGGTTGATTTTCGTAATTATGTACGTAATTATCGACCATCATAGGACAAATAATTATTAGTAATTAAGATGATTGTTTGCCGTATATTATGCATATTATGGACGTCACCATCATTGACTCAAAGGTATTTAATCGATTGACCAATGATTAATACTGCGCTTCACGTTATTAGCTTCTATTCCAATGTTGTACAGGTAAAATGCACTTATAATATAATTGCCATTAAAACGCATTGTTGTTGCAACTTATATTTTTTAATGATATAACGTGATATTCACCAAAGATTTATATTTAACACTAAATAAAAATAGGAACTTTTAGTAATCATGATCGTTTATTTTTCTGTTATGTTCTCTAATAATTTCTTAAATTTGTTATAATATAATTTATAAGAACCATATAAATTACATTAAATTTTTGTTTATACATCATTTTAAATATCATTTATCTTTTCTCTTCAGTAAAATAATTTTTATTAATTTGTTTCATCATTATTTCAAGAAAAATGTTTAATATTGTTTAATATTTAATATTTAATATAATATTTGTTGTATCTAAATGCTACAACAAGAGTTAAAAAATAATATTCTAAATAGTTTCATCACATATTTTATAGAGCATGCGATCTAATAAAAAATCTAAAGAAATGCGAATTTTTATCATTTGAAGGTGCCAACTTCATAGACTTTCAATATCTTCCTGAAAAGAGATGCACAAGATGGATAATTAAAACAAAGAATCGAAATTCTTTTTTGGAATCAGAATATTAAAAAAATATAAAAGGCAACTGAGAATCAAATGCTTTGATGCAAAAATAAATATTTAATAAATATTTATTAAATATTTACGCATCGATAACAGCGTTTGTCTTTATATCTTTTTGTGATATTGTCGAGGAGTAAAATAATACTTTAATAATAAACTTTTTACATCCAACATCTATTAAAATTCTAATATCTATTAAAATTCTAATAATTCTCAATGTGAATCGATGTGACATGAGCGTGAGTATTTATACGATGTAATAATTATCATCAGTTTTAAAGTATAATACTAATGATTCCCAGTAGAATACTAGTTCATGTATTCTTTTTTAGACAGAACACAGTCATTAGGCATAACAGTTATACTCTTCTGTTGACCGAGAGAACTGTAAGTGAAGGTTTGAAACTTATAATACAACTGCACATTTTCCTCTCTGTGTGCTTACTAATAGACATCATGTAGCCGGAGAACAAATAAGAATTATTTTTAACTTTAGATAGACTGTTATAGCCTAATTCAATTGTTCTTTTTTTTTTTTTTTCATGACTTTGATCGGAGGATTTCCACGTGATTGCGTCAACCGGTGGATTTGCAAGTCAGCAAACAGGGCTGCGCTTCTTCGATCGCACTGCCGTTGGTGCATCCGATTTCTGCCTGAGATTTCTGCCACGTCGTTAGGTAGGAAAGTCCGGAAGACCACGACGGGGTCGAGCAAGTAGGAGTACGCCGACGCCGGCTTGGTCTAAGACGTCGGTGTCATTATCGCGCGGGCAGTCCGTTCGCGACGAGCCGCGCACGATCAAGCCGCGACGGCGACGTCGACGACGACGAGGACGACAAGGGTGGTGCGAAGAGATCGGCCGGGTGACCGTACAGGTGCGAAGACGATACCGCGCCGGAAAGAACTCGCGACTCTCCACTGACATTAACACACCCGATTGAGTGATACGAGAAAATCTTTAAAATAAAATACAATCGGACAAAGGGACGAGAGCATCTTGTGTCTTGCGCGAGGAAGAAACGAGGATCCTAACAGTCGGAATTTTAACGCGAGCTCTGATCCCTCCGATCGCACGATTAATCGGCTTTTCGTAGATTTAACGGCGGGAAAGGAGGATGTAAATTAATCGCGAAGCGATATTCGTCAGCGGAAAAATTTCTGCCAAGGAATTTCGATACCGAGTACTGAAGACCGGTAACTGGTGGTATTGGTAACGAATGCTGATGCTGATACGCAAATATTGAAAGAGATTGGATGCGTATTGATTGGATTATAGAAGATAAAAATAGAAAGAGAAGAAAACTACTCACGGCGCGGAACGAATTTTTTACAGATCTTGATTTAACGTGAAACGATGGAAGAATTGATTAGTTTTTAATTTATTTTTGCTGCATTGTTAGATAACAAATTTTAACGAATTTTAATTATTCTTCACAACAGAAAAGAAGATTTATTATATAATATCAGAACAAAATATGGAATAAAGATCGGAATTCTTTATTTCAGATTTTCGTTTTATTTTATTATTAATGATATAAAATTTAATGATGTTTTCGTATATATTGCCTTCTATATATTTCCTATATATTTAATGATATTTGATAATCTTTTTATTACTATTTTACATATCACACTATCCAATCGCAATTCATTTTTTACATATTGCAAATAAATTTTGTTATGCAAAAAAACTTGAAAGATTATTATCGGCCGAATCTTGAATTTTTTTCTAAAGTGCAATACAGCAAAAGGTGTCTTCTCTTTCGGATCAAAGTGCTGCAAAATTGACAAGGATGCATGTATAATGGTCACCAAGCGACGTGCGTATGACGTCACTATTCGTACACTTCGGAGGACGTACGACGCTGTAAAACATACAAAATTGCTGTACGCGTTTCCGCAGAGCAAAGCGATTGATAAAGTGCTTCGCGTCCTCGAAGGATATAATAAGGTTTCGATCTTCGTTTAATATCGACTTTCGATCTTTACGAATCAAGAATAAAGCTCGTAAAAAATTAAATTTCTTTATAAACGCGATCATTCGAAATGTCTAAAAAAATAAACCTTTGATTAGATTTGACATTTTTCAAGAATATTTTATGAATATAATCACATATATAATCTTAACTTAAGCGGCGCAATGAATTAAAATTATTTTTCGACAAGCAGATAATAATTTGCAGTTATGTAACAATCCTGCAAACTCCAATGTGCGTCCCTAATTTTGCGTGACTCGATTATTTAAGCCTGTGATTGCTTTCAAAATATCTATTTCAGTGCGCCTGTGTGTACCCGTTTATGCATAAATATTACTTGTGTATGTTTCTGCAGAACGTTAAGATGGTGTCTATAAAGAAGCTTGGAATCGGCGGTGGAGTTATGTTTTTCTTCGGCATTCTACTTTGGTGCGGGTTCCCCGCATTGATTAGGTCGCAGATTAAGAAGGTACTAATTTCTTTAATAACAAACTCTATTTCTGTTTTTCGTGTTAAATTAATCTTGTATTATTTTTTAAGGAACGATATATTTTTAATATTACGTGTTTAATTTTATATTTAATGTTAATGCATTTTACATTTAACCTTAATTTTTTATGTTAAATTTTAATACTTATTTTAATACTTATAATTTTTACTACTTATTCTCATACTAGCGAGTGTAATAACAATAATCTCTCAACGAATTATATAATTCCACGGTGCGATGCGCGACATGATTTTACTTTGATTGTCAGATAGCGTCAGATAGCGCTAAAATAAGAAAACTGCTGGATCAATTCTAGGCTCGCAAAGAATCATAAAGTTCGTAACTTATTCTCGTAAGACTGGTAAGAACTTATGAGTGGACTATTCTATGCGTACCGTAACACGTACGTGATCATTCGTGAATATCTACGATTTCTCGTCTTACGACGAGAAGAAGCTATCTGTAAAGTTATTGCATAAAATTATTATTAAGCATCAACTCATAAATTCTCACCAGTCTTACGAGAATAAGTTATAAGCCTTAGATTACAATTCTGTTTAGAATTGACCCATACGTTTCCTTTCGTCTTCAGCAATTTTTTTCGCATTAAATTCACTCTTTTTGAGAGTTTAAAATTATAGTTTATTCAATAATTTCATTTTTGCGTGACTCGTAAAATTAATTCTCAAGTCTATTAGAAGACATACCTTTCTGGGATGTTACGCTTTTATTTTAGATAGAAACAATTTTTTATATTATTAATAAATCTTTGTGTCATTTCTTTGTGTTAATTCTTTTCTATTGTCATTCAAGATCCAGGTCGTTCTAAGAAATCTTGCGTGAGCGTTTTGTCTCTAAGTAGTTGTTATAACTTTATGGAATGTCGCGAAATATTCCAGTCATTCCGCGAAAGTGTATGTCGCAGAATCCTTGAACTCTCATTGTCAAATGTTATGTTTTTTTCAAAATGTATTATTTCGGTATCTTGTTGTATTTTATTTAACTCCCTCCTCTCTTGAGAAATGGAAGAATTAATATAATTTTGTTACCGTTACGTCATATACACATTTTAAATTATATGACTTCCAAAGCACGATTAATAACCATTGTCATAACGTTTCGTCAACAGAAGTATTCACTTTATTATATAAAGATTATAATTTGCGCCGACTGTGCAAATACAGATCCTTTTCGTGAGATTCTAGATATCAAAATCTAGATCTGTCGCAAAGTTCGCTGTAGATAATCGCTGTAGGCATCTTTTCTAAATTTTTGCAAAATCAGTAATTTAAAAATGTGTTATGTCATCTTTATCTACTTGATTTTTCAATTCTATCATGATCGTAAACTGACGAGATTTACAAACAATTGCGTTGTACAGGCAATTGCGTTGAAACCAGGAAGCGAAATCCGCGAAATGTGGACTGCTTTTCCTCTGCCGTTGGATTTCAAGATTTACCTGTTCAACGTGACTAATCCCGATGAAATTAATGAGGGAGGAAAGCCAAAGTTGAAGGAAGTTGGACCATTCTTCTACGAGTAAGTCATTTAGAGATCATTAATCGTGAAAATGCAAATTGAAAATTTAATATTCTTAAAAATTTTATAAATTTGATAATAATTTCATCGTTTAAAAAAAAAATCACTTCTTATTTTCATTCTTAAAAAGTATTTTAAAAAGTGTTGCACACTTGGTTATTCACATCTCCATCGATGTGTCCGATATTATTCTAATCGAGCTGGATTTATTTATTTAATTTGCGTTAATAAAAAACTCACGTGTCCTCTAACTTAACTATTTCGAATTAACTCTTTCGAATATTCCAGCGAGTACAAACTGAAGCTGGACCTCGTCGATCGAGAGGATGAGGACACCGTCGAGTACAGCATGAAGTCAACGTGGTTCTTCAATCCCAAGAAGAGCAACGGGTTGACGGGCGAGGAGATCATGGTGTACCCCCATGTCATGATCCTGGGCATGGTGGCAGCCACGCTCAAAGAGAAACCCGCTGCGATTCCGGTCGTCGGTTCGTATCTACCGATTTATCAGGTGTCATTATTTTTCATTTCAATGTCGCGTATCGATTGTGACTGCGAATCGGCTATATTGCACAGGGTCGACGCGGACTATAATAGTTGCGCGCCGGAAGGTTTAAAAGTGGAACGTCAGATACAATAGTATCCTATAGCGTACGTGCAGCTTCGACGAAGGTGCGAATTATTTATAAGGCCTCTGTCGCCTCGAGTGCCACCATTCGCGCCACGCGCGCTTCCGTAATGACTAAGTTTGACGAAAGTAGCGAGCGATTTTCTCTTAACAAAAATACAAAGAAACGCTCGTTATGGAGTCCTTGGTTTTAAAGTATTACGTCTAGGTTATTGCGTCTCTTTGTTAATTATTTTTTTTTTTTTTTTTTTTTTTCGTATCGTAATTTAGGCAAAGCCGTCAACAGCATCTTTCACAAGCCGGAGTCGCTATTCGTGACAGCCAAGGCCAAGGATATACTTTTCGACGGTCTGCCCGTCGATTGTACGGTGACAGACTTCGCGGGGTCGGCGGTGTGCAACCTTTTGAAGACGGAAGCGAAAGATCTCGTGCCCGATGGTGAAAATCGCTACAAGTTTTCCCTCTTTGGCGGGGTAGGTGACTTCAATTTCGAAGGAAATTAATTATAAATCTTATATTATTCAATACGGAGATTTATGTTTAAAATTCCAATTGTACCTCTATCGACTTTCCGAGGAAAATATCTATTTATATATTTTACCATAATTATTTTAAATATATCGTCGAGCTTACATGATTTCTCTAGTTTTTTGATTTCTCGGAGATATGATGATATGTAGATAAATTAACGGTCTAATTGCACGTTGAAAAAGAAGCGAGTCACGCATGAAGAGGAGATAATAGCAAGTTATTATGCGTCTGACCGCAATTTTGTCGTAAATAAAAGTAGAGATTATTGTCAATTCTTCGCTGGACGTTACGTACTTGCTAAACGTACATATATAAGTACGTGAGAAAATTGTAAGAATCTATTATATTGCTCATTATAAAAAAAAAAATGATTGTAATTGGATTTGTGAAAAATGGCACCGTCGTACCGCAACGTATGAAAGTTCTACGTGGAGTTAAAAATTTTAAGGACGTCGGTCGTGTCCTGGAATTCGACGGTAAACCCGCGTTGGACATTTGGCCGGAGGATCACTGCAACGCTTTCAATGGTACCGATTCGACAATTTTTCCTCCTCTGTTTGGTCCCGACGACGATATCGTCTCGTTCGGCTACGAGATCTGCCGAAGTCTCAGTGCGCATTATAAATACCATAGCAAAGTTAAAGGCACGTATGAAATATCTAATTGAAAAGAGATTATATTTATAAGTACATGCACAAAGTTTTAATTGCATACACACATGAAAAATGCATGATGATTGTTTACGTTGAGAAGTAAAATTGACAACCGAATATGTAATATCTTGATGTCTATGCAGACATTTTGTGAAGTAGAGTAATGTATATACTATTAAATATAATATTTTTATATTTCTTTTGACAAAAATATAGAGACAGATTTTGTTATATATTATTATCTTTAATTTTTCTAAACAAATATAAGTATATACATAGAGACCGAGATATTTAAACAAAGAATAGACAAATTAAAGCACTACCAGGCAGGATTATTACAGACACTATTATTTTTTAATTTTTTTAGAATTTTGTTAAATAACATATTTAAAATACATTTAGTTTTTATCAGTATTTAACATGTTATTATTAACATCAGTTTTTTGAAAGATTAATATGCGCAAGTCTATCTGATTAATTAATACCTTGATTTATCTATATTCTTTATCGTTCTACCTCTTTTTTTTAAACAATATGACACACACACACACACACAGGATTATTGTTACTTAATCTTAATAACCTTTTTGAACTCGCAGGCGTTAATACTCTTCATTATACCGCGGATCTGGGAGACATGAGCACGAATCCTATGGAGAAGTGTTTCTGTCCGACACCGGAGACTTGTTTGTCGAGAAATTTCTATGACATGACAAAATGTCTGGGTGTACCCATTATTGGATCTTTGCCACATTTTTACGACACTGATGGAAAATACTTGCAAATGGTGGATGGCTTGAATCCAAATCAGGTAATGGACAAATAAACACGATTTCATGATTTACATTAGATGGATTGTTAAATAATAATGATATTCGTAAATAAATTAAGAAAAGAGACGCATATAAATTATATCATTGATAGGAGGAGCATGAAATCGATATGGACTTCGAGCCGATGACGGCCACACCGATACGGGCGCATAAACGGTTGCAGTTCAACATATTCATACAACCGGTACCGAAGTTCAAGCTGATGAAGAATTTCCCGGAAGCGCTACTGCCATTGTTCTGGGTGGAGGAAGGAATACTTCTCGATGACGAGTTCGTCAACAAGGTGAAGATGGTGTTCAAAATAATGGCGGTCGTCTCGTGAGTATTGCATTACGATAATTATTCTTAAATAATTATATTTAATTGATAGCTGACATAAATTAATTCATAGATTATTCGTCTTGAAATTAATTTAATATTATTTTTATAAATGAATAACGATTATTTCTTTGACTTTCCTGTAATCGAAATTTGTAAGTGAATCCATCCATTCAACTTGAAACTTTGGTTTGCAGGTTTCTGAAATGGCTAATGGTGCTCGGTGGAATAGGCATGGGAGGCGCAGCTGGTTATATGTATTATAAAAATCGTGATAGTGGCAATTTGGACATCACTAAGGTTACTCCGAAGACAGCTAGCAGGGAGGATAGCAAGAATGAAAAGAGTTGGCCGCCTGGCATGAACATCAGCACGATACAAGCGGCATCGGTGCCGTCCAGTCTCGACAGAAATTGAGTTTCTGTTAGCAGGAAAATTTCTAATATCAGTCACGAAGGTCCATTCTTTCAATTCCAGAGATATCTTTTTTAACTAAAATTATTTTTAATATATAAATATATAATTGAATAAGGTTTTCCAAATGCGGCGGACAGTTCTTAAAAAGTAAACGAAGCACGAGGAACTATGCCTTCACGGCAATTTGCAATGTCTTAAATGAAGGGTTGAAAGGCTGAAGATGTTATAGCAAATATGATATATTTTATTAAAGCCTAACGACCAAATAATAGATAAATCTTTCTATTTTTCTCTTGGAAACATAATTAAACTCGCGAATATATAGGTAAGAACGTAGATAAGACTCAATCCGTCATGTGTAACATATACTTGAAATTAACTACCTCGTTATAAAAATGTTATAAAATTTTTTAGTAATGCACCTTGTATGTACAGTACAAATTAACGGTTCTTAATTTTTGTGATTTGTGTGATATCAAAATATTGATTATGTAATATATTTAAAACTTTTCTAAGAATGTGTAAAATTTCACTAAAATTTTAAAATGCATTTTATATATATATATACGGCTAAGCTTTATAATAATTCGGCACAGATTTGCAAAAATGTAGAAAACTAAATACTTCTTATTCTTAATTAAAAAAGATTATTTAGATTTTTAGATTATTATTTAAAGATTTTGATTATCTTCTAATAGATTAAGTACAAGAATATTAGTTACTGTCATCCGACTACAATACAAGTGAATATGGCAAGCGCCATCGAAGAAATAAATTTATACGTCCTTTTATCAAATAAACTTTATCAAAATTGTTTTTAAACTAGAATTAAAAGATTAAAAATCTATATGTTTAACTTAACAATAAATCAACAATTTTAATTAACCAAGTGTCATTGATCTTTGAAGATGATATTACCTTATAAAAATAAAAAGAGAAACATTAATAATAAAACTTTTCAAATCATACAAAATATTCTAAATAATAAATATAAATTAAGCATTCGTACATGGAAAAAGCAATTTTGTTGAAACATCAAATATTAGATCTGAAAATAATTTTGTTGGATCATAATTAATAAAATTATTTTATATAGAACGCTTAAATATGATCTTCTTCTTTGAAGAAGAGAAGAAAAGAAGAATATGATGATAATAATTTTTTTATAGTCTAGCAACCAATTTGAATGTTACAACTATTTTGATGATCCAAGAAAATTATTTTCAGATCTGGATTCGATGAAATTTTTAAATACTTCAGCAAAACTGCTCCATATAATTATTTATTTAGACCGGTTTTCAACTGGTTATTGCCCTAACCAGGCAATCTTCTTTTGTTCGTTCCTTGCTCTCTCTTACACAATAGCACGTATTTGTACGCGCTCCTGTATTCAGAGCTCATCACGACGTAGATGACGGGATTGATGCAGGTTGTCAGATAGATGAGTATGTAGCCGGCGATATTGAAACCCCGCCAGTTAACCGTATTTTGAAAAAGCTTCGTGACGGTAATCGGCAGATAGCACACCAGAAACGATGCGAATATCACGAGAATCATCTGCAGCAACTTCCGGTCTTTGGCAGACATCCTAGGCGCGGAATAATCGCCGCCATTGCGCACGTTTCCGATGCTCTTGAATTTCGACTGTCTGCGAAATGCTCTCCTCGCGCAGGATCGCTCTGGCGATTTCGAATTCGATCGATCCGAGCGTTCACCAGGGAGCCTCTGCAATGATCCTTGCGATCCCATCACGAGGGACGCTCGATCGGTCGACTTTGCCGATCGGTCGCAGGAATTTTCTGACAATTTCCGCTGCGGCTCGCGCTGATCCCTGTTCAGAAAGAGTCCCGTTTCCGCGAAGTCCGTTTTCTCGATCTCACAATCATCCACAAATGAGAAATCCTCCGATAGGCTGATATGAGGAACGTCGCAACCACTGTCGACGTTTGAATTAGAGCGAATGTCGAGATTTGTTGTTGGGTCGTCTATTTGCAATCTTGTCGTGAAATTCGTTTCTTGTTGATCTTGGATCGACTGCTTAGACCATGAGTCTTCGTTAGCGGATGTGGACGGTAGTTCGAGATCCATTCCTTCGTCTGGATTAAGAAGACCCATTTGCATCGATGAGGAAGGAGCAGAGAAGACAGAGAGTTCTCGTTCTTGATTTCTTGTGGACGGTTGCTGCAAAAAAAGTTGCCGAAAATAATGAGCTATTTAAAAGTTTATGTCGGCTTTAAACGCCATTGTAATTAAAACAAAATTGTATTTTAATAAATTACAAAAATTATATTCCAATAAATTAAAAAAGATAAAATTTCTTTTAATAAAAATTGTTAAAGTAAAGAAATTCAAATATTCGTCTATTAGTTTTATAACATGTAATAATTATTAATATTTCATTTATTTTTATTTATTTGAAATACGATTTCTCCGTTAATATCAAAATATTATTTTGATAACAGATTTATTAAATGCATATCTTACAATTTCTTTTATAAAAAATTTATCTAAATATATTTTTTCTATAATTTATTTTTCTTTGTATTAAACTTAAATCTTCTTTTTTATCGAAAAAATAAATAGATCTTACATCATTGCTGATTTCCGCAGGTTCTATGTTGAAGATCTTGTCTCTGCCTCTACTCTTCGAAGCAGTTTCGCGGACAATGTAGAAAATTCTGGCGTAGCAAACGATAATGGCGAGGCAGGGTATTAAAAACGCGAGAACGAAGAGAAATTCCTTTGGACTGCGCCCGTTCACATCCGGTAGGATCGAACAGGATCCGACAACAGGATCCAATCCGAAACGTCCAAATCGTTCGAACCACGTAACGATCAATAGGCCGAAAGCGATGATCCATATCGCCAGGACCATCGGTATTAGGTATCTCGTTTTGTACAATCTACAAATGATATTTAACAATTAATTTCTTTTAATTTGACTTGAAAGAGAGTATGATTCGTTCTTCCAAAATAAAAAATAATTTTGTGTAAGGTGTCGACTTGTAGAAACTATTATTAATTCTAAAAGCGAAGAAGTCAATAATTTCTTTTTTCCAATTGTTATTTTTCTGTTATTTTTACCGGTCTTTTTGCAAAAATAATAAATGCCTAAATGCCTAAATAAAATGGTTGTAAAAAGATAAAATATTTATATATAAGTAGAAGGAAGAGAAGGAGAAGGCTGCTTACGTGGGATAAAGGCCGGGATGACCGATCATGACGTAGCGATTGATCGTGATCGCGAGAACGCTGAAGAGGCTAACTGCAACGAGGCCGTATCTCAAGAGCGGAAACAGCCGACACAGGAGTGGTCCGTGTAGCCATGATCTGTGCCAGAACGTTGAAGTCGCGAGTGGTAGATTGAAGCAGCAGAACATCAAGTCTGATATCGACAGATTCATGATGAAGACTGCGGTGGCATTCCTCAACTGTGGCAAAATTAATTATTGGAAAAGTAATAACAAAGTTACGAAATTCTTTCCTCGCATGTTCACGTATTCATTAAATCAACCAAATGGTAAAATTTTAGCCGATCAAATTGTTGGAAACGTGAGATTATTATTTGAAAACTCTTGGTTACTGGAATGATCAATCTGATTATTAAGCTTAAGTTTTATTGCTTACGGTTTTCTATGTGTCACTAGCTTTATCATGTTAATAAGTAATGTAAATATATTAACCATGCATTAATTAGAATTAAGCTTAAAAATTGTGGAACTGTTTGAAACATTTATAAATTATACATAATTATCTCATTGTCGATTTTGATTATTGCACATTTTTAATAATTCATAAATAGTAACAAATTATTAATATAAAAATTAATGTATGAAGTGACCGAATGGACTCTCTCGGATTTCTCTCAGAGTAAACATAATAAAAATTGATTGGGACTTCCTGATTCAATTCTAGTCGATTATATCAGAACAGAGTACGTGAACCTTCGTGAAAACACACGATTGTATATGTTCGCTTCCGCGTAATCGATTCCAAACTTAACTCATTGATGATCGACTTTGGCGAGAGCTTTTGCCATAGAATTGTGCCGACGACCTCTGTCCATCGATTTGCGTTATCGTCGATTATTCTTCAGAAATAAAATATGTTCAATCGCGTAATAAAATAATTTTTCTTATAATTCCAAAAAATTATATCACTATTTTTATAAATATAATAATAAGAATATTGAAAAGGCATTTATTCTTATTATAAAAGTATTGCCCCTTTACAGTGCCATAATTATAGATATTATGGAGAATGATTTAATTAAAAAAAAAATTATTTTATTTTAGATAAAAACATTTTTCTAAAAATCCTCATTTTATACACAAAAAAATATTTGATCCAGTAAGAAAGATCCATGCATAAAATATTGTAGAATATAAAAATTATATAATATATCTTTATAAATAAAACTATGGTCTAAAAATATTTAACCAAAAAATAATCTGAAATTTTTATGTCCTTATTTCATTGCTGTTAGAATTAACGCCTTGTAATACTAGAAAGGTATAATGACTCGAGGCAAACCACTCAGATTTTTAAGATTTCCGCGTGTAAGCGGCGCCGGAAACTTGAGTAGCCTTGCATAATACAGATTCGTTATACTTAAGTCTTTCCGAGTACAAGTCGCGGAAATTGTTGCGAATAGCTCAAAACGAGTTTCACAAATCTGCTGTATTTCTGAGAAATATTCTTTTTCCAGACGAGAACTTAATCATGATATTATAATAATAATAATATCAATTATTATTTTTCTGTAACTTTTCATCTTTTTATAAATTGCTATCATTTTCTTTCAAATACCAAATCATCAAAAAGTTCAAATCAATTCTTATCAATAAATTTATCAATTAGTCAATCTTCAGATTGAGTCATTTTTAAACGTTTTCTCTGCTCATATTTTCGCTTCAGTATTATCATCTTAAATTTAAAAAATTACATCTACGATTACGGACCTTTTTGGTACGAAATAATGCGATCACCGTGATAAGATTTCCCGGAATGCCGACCAGCATGAAGAGGATGCAGCAAGCAGCGGCGAAGCACAGCAGCCATCGTGAATAATCAACGAAGAGGATCACCGACCCTGGATCCTGCAGCATCTCCTCAATCGTCGCCTCGTCGCTGTGGTTGCGGCCAGTTTCGTTGTTCGCCATCCACCAGTACTCCAGCATCTGTGGAAAACCGAAATCTTGCGGAAAGCCGAATACGTTTGTACCAATGTCGTGTCAGGGCCATAAATAGAGTCGTGACATTTCATTCGCCATTTACAGAGACAATAATTTCGATCTTCTTTTCGAGGACTTTTTTAAAATCTTGAAAAGAGAGGTCCAGATCTTTTCAAAATATTTTTGAGATCTTCTTAAGATAATAATGTCGATTACTTATGGCCGTGTGTCATGTGTAAGTTTCCATTTACATCCATCATATATAGAGTTTACAAAATGTAGAGAGCGATCTACGTGAGAATTGTAATTACACTCTTTTTACAAAATTTGAATAATGCAAATTATCTAATTATGCATTATTTGTGTACAATTTATTAATATTATTACAATATAATAATTGCATTTTTTATAATTATTAATTTATTGATAATTGCATCTTTAGAAAGATTCGATGGATGTGCTCAAAAATTTGAACGACTTTAGTTTGAGAATATACGTGCACGATTGATTTCCTCAATTTTATTTTATTAATAATTGTGTTCTTCTTTGTGTCGTACATTAAGATCGCACTCAACGACTGACGCGACACTTTCGCTGTTCCAAAGGCGTGAATTTTACACGTCGCTCGTGTGTGCGTGTGTGTGCGTGCGTGCGTGC